ATGTTTACACTGTTTTCTGCATGTACATCATGAAGGATCAGTGAGTGACTGTGACATCGGAGTGATTACACGTATCAGGTGACTCCACCTTTGATTCTGATTTAAAATTGTTTAAAAATACAAATATGATCCTTCTAAGCTTTACTATAAAGTTAATAACACCTCATTCAGAAACCACTGCAAGTAACAAACAGATTATTTCATCCAGGTTATTTACACTACACGCATAAGAAACCAACCTGTTTGGCTGATGTATTCTCCTGGTTGACATTGCCTGTGTTTGTGTGCTGCCATGCAGCTACCAGCTGCAAGTTCAACACAGTAGAATCCATCCTCTGGTTTACAAACTGTATCTAATGTTGATGTGCATGTCCTGTTCTCCTTCAGACCAAAACCTGTGAGCATGTAGAGAGGACACATGTTAGAGAGACAAGGCCGAGATGGTTTCTACACGTGCAGGGAGGGATAGGGAATATACACTGGACATAGGATGTTGAAGATGGAGGTTTCAGGTAGGAGGAGGAGGAAAAGAAGAGCATAGACAAGATTCATGGATGTGGTGAAGAAAGAAATGGAGAGATTGGTGTGAGAGAAGAGGATGCTAGGGATTGGTGAAAAATGAGCCAGAGGGGTCACTGCTGTGGTGACATTATGATGTCATTCATCAAAAGCGACTTAAAATTATTTTGATTGATTTACTAAAATGTTGTAATAATTGACAGATTGAATGATTTGACGTGTTAATTAAAATAATACATTTATAGAAAACATTAATGAAATGATGCTTCATTTTATTTAGATGGAAATCTAAAGGTTACGTGGAGGCAACATCATATGGCAGAGCGTGAAAGCTGATCATGAGCTCATGTGGAATATCTTGAGGCATAATTACTTAATCAGTTAATGTGTTAAACATGTCGCCAGTTTGATGACATGTTTAACACATTCATTTACATGCAGTCATACATGTTTTAAATCAATGTTAAATCAAAGCCCTCGTCAAAGAGACGCCCTGCAGATTCACAATAGGAACTTTGTACCATCTTTAACTGTATTAATTCTTACATCACAATAACAGCAGAGCATGCAGTAACAACTTCCCTAGTTTCATAAATAAAAACCTACTTGGGTCACAGATTGTGCAGTGAGTGCATTGTTTGAGTCCGCTGGGCTTATCCATGTGGGTTCCATCCTCGCAGGCCACACAGGAAGTGTGTGCAGTCTCTGTGCAATCTGTCTTGACCCTATTTCCTGTTATAATAAAAAAACGGCAGACTATTTTCAATGCATATCGTTTTTACTCATGTAAACTGTGAATCTTTTGGAGTTATAAAGGTGTGAAGTTGAACTTTTACATATAGAGAGACAGTAAAGAGCAGGACTCCATGTTTAATAACCAAAGTAAAATCAGCCTCTAACATTCAGCTGGATCTTACCTGCAGGACACTTT